GAGAGTGGAGGGAAAAGTTTAAAATTTAAAATTTTAAAAAAAGCACTACATTCATCTAAAAGGATGGTTCTTTTAAATGATAGACATTTTCCCTATATATATATATATATATATATATATATCTTGGCACAATAAGCCATATATTTTAACATTAATTGATATTTTAACATTAATTGATTTTTTACATTAATAAAAGTAAGTTATCGAAATGATTGAATAGGTAATATTATGCTATTATATGTACAGTGATTATTTTTAAAGTAGGAAACATTAATGTACTTATTTTAATTTAAAATTCGCATTTTTATGTTAATATTAGATTAATCTTATGTTTTATTTTGACAGTGTTGTGTCTTGTAATTTTGAAAATTTATTATTTATGTGTTAATTTGTATCACGCCGTATTTTTTTTGGTACATGTATCACGTTAAGTTTACTAGGTCTTTAGATGATATGATTGGTTTCAAGAATATCAACCAAATGGATCGCGACATTTATTTAAAAGACACATGAGAATTTTTTTTTCATTTTTAATTAATTTATTTTTACTTACAATTATAAAAAATATAACATTATTTTTATTCTTTATCTCTTTATTTTTACATTTTTCATAAAATTTATAAAACAAAACATAAAATAAAATAACATGTCAGCTTTCACTTATCAATAAAAAATATATTAACTAAGCCTAAAATTATAAAGTAAACCAAATATCTCCTCAGTATCTATTTTCCTACCGAAAATAAAAACTTCCAGAAAAAAATAAATATAAAATAGATATCAATTATATCAAATGTAAATATTACTATCATCACTATCATGCTCTATTTTGCTATGAAGCACAGACACTTCAAAAATTCCGACGCGTTCTGTCCGACATTTACTAACACTCACCGACACTCCAATACTCATTGCAAAGACTCAAAAAAGATTTAAAGGTTACGTTGTGTTGCATTTTGAGTTCCAACTATTAGATTCGTTAGATTACGATTATAATTTTATTGAGTTTGATATAAACATATTGAATACATTATGTCTCTTTGCAAAATTGATAGGTATTATAAGTTTAGTTTTATTTTTTTGTTAAATTATTGAATACTAAATATATATACACTACATAAATTAAAAATATTATATAATATCAAAACGTGTCAAAATTTAATATTTTTTTAGAATTAATATATCAAAATATTATGTCATATCTCTTATCTTGTGTCAGTGTCGATTCAACATAGCTCTTTTGTATTAGATTTTTTTATTAGAAGTGCAAATAATACATATGTTTATAAAAAGTCCTTATATCATGTTATAACAAAGCTTTCTTAAAAACTGAAATTATTAAATGAAGCTATTGATTATTATGTACTATGTATTAGCTTGGGAAAACCCGAAAAGGCATCTATTGAAAGGATATCAAACTACACGCACATATAAAATTGTAATATTTATATTAATTTACTAAAGGTCAAGTTAATTAAAACAAGTAAAAAAAATAAAATAATACTTCGAATGCGCGTCATATGGCTCAATAGACAAATGCTTCTTTGTGATGGACTTGAGGACTCGGATCTATTTAGTTGCATTGAAAGGAACAACTTTTCGCAAAAAAGTAAAGTTACCTCCCAATATCCAATTATGAATTTCATCAAAAGAGACAAATATTATTATTAATATTTTGGTGGGGACAAATATTATTTTAAATGTTGTGGAAATTTACTGTTATCTAATTTATGTGAAGATAAATGTACAATTTATCAACTATGCTAGTTTGAATGAATGAATGTAAAACTACTTGGGTTTAAAAATCGCGGAAGCACAATAGAAAAATGTGAAGTCATCCGTTCGAATAGAAAAATTTAAAATTTATTCCCTTAATTAACATTTAATATTCGTAAGTTTTAATTCTCACACGAAATAATATTTCTATTTGTTTAAAAAGCTAGTTCATATAATATTTATTTAAGAGGTTTATAAATTTTTTTTTTACAACATTTTTACAAATTATGTTATGTATTATGGATAATATATATACATGAATATATAGGAGACAGATGCGTTTACAAATTTTTTTTAAAATTTTTTATAAATTATACTATGTTCTCCCAGGAGAATATATTAACATTTAATATTCGTAAGTTTTAATTCTCGCACGAAATAATATTTCTATTTGTTTAAAAAGCTAGTTCATATAATATTTGTTTAAGAGGTTTATAAATTTTTTGCTTACAACATTTTTACAAATTATGTTATGTATTATGGATAATATATATTACATGAATATATAGGAGACGGATCTGTTTACAAATTTTTTTTGAAATGTTTTACAAATTATACTATGTTCTCCCGGAAGAACATAGTGTAATCAGTGTTCTCCCGAGAAAACATAGTGTAATTTGTAAGAATTTGTAAACAATTTTTTTTATAAATATAACCTGCTCTGAATATATATTATCTAAAATACATAATAATTTATAAAAAATTGTAAAAGAAAATTTATAAACATAATCTATCCTTTTATTTTAATAGATACTTTGATAAGTTGCATCGTGAATGGAGCATGAAAAGGTAGATCAGGTGGATTTGATGGAGTGTAAACTTCGAAGCAAATCGAGCCAACTTTTATGGAAGCAGCGAATCCCATGACAGAAACAATCACGAAACAAATGAATGGCGATATATGTTATTATATAATATTACTTTTTATTTTATTTTATTAGAGATCTCCGTTCACGCAAACGGAGGAAAATACGAGGGGTGTGGTGTGGGGAGTGGGGACTACCTGTAATGTAATAAATGTAAACGTATCGTCCTAAGATATAATCCTGTACGTCTCAATAACACTATTCCCACTACCGCTGCCGGCAAACCCAAACGCCGCCTTCCTAAAACATAATAAGTGTGAAAAAGAAGAAGGAATATAACCAAATTGGAATTAAATTTAGAAACGTATAAAAATATTTTATTTTTTTTTTAAAAAAAACTTTTTACCATCTCACTTCGGTAAGAAGTCGTTACGGTCCTTTTAGTAAAGAGATTTTTCTTGCATCGCGGAAAATTAAAATTAAAAATTTTATTTATTCAGGTGTAATATAGGGTTAATAATTTTTTTTTCAAAAATCTGATTTTTCAAAAATTCTAATTTATGAATATTTTTTAAGACAAAATGTCGTCAGGATTTTTTAGAGGTAAAAAAAATATTTTGACTCTGCACCACAAACTTCAAGTAATATTTTCTTCCACTAGTATGGTGACGACGCCATTAGCACTAACAGTATAATTTTTTAAATCACATACATTATCAGTAATATTTGATAATCCAAACATAGAATCAGGATAATATTTTGACTTACTAAATAATTTTTTGCTCACATTTTTAAAAAATTAACTTTCTCAACATATTTATGGAACCCATAATTCACAATAATAAAAAAATTATTTTCACCAAAAGGCCCTTAGGTGGTGTTTGGTTGGGAGCTTTTCAGCGGATATCTATGTTTTTCAAGTATGGTTTTTAGAAACACCATGTTTGTTTCAACGTATTTTCACCAAAAATTCATCTATTCAATCTGTATGAATTTATGAGAAACATAGATATCCGTACTGTTTAGAAACCCAATTTGAAGGTGAAATTTTTCGGAAAACCGGTTATCTAGCTTTTAATGCATTGTTGATTTCATAAAATTACCTAATTTTCTCAGTAAAGTTTTTTCCCACCAAACAATTTTTTTTTACATTTATCTATCTATCCTACTTATCTATCTTTCCAATCATTTCTCTATCTATTACATTTCCCTACTATTCCAAAAATATTTCCTGAACCAAACGCCCCCTTACATGTAATTCTTTACCGGGCATCATGTGAAATAGTGTTGTAAAAAAATATTTGTAATGTTGCAACGTGAACTAACACCTTCTCTTCTACGAACCATGTGAGAGTAATATTTCTTTATAATGATAATAATAACAATAATAAAAATAATAATTTATTAATTCTTAACATATTGCAAGCAAATGTCACTGCTATTCTTTAGAAGCTCATACTGCTGATAAGCTTATCTTATTGTACCGAATCTTCATGCAAATTTTGCTCCTCATATGATATGCAATTCTGTACTTATTCTAAAGATTTTTTAAAATACACATTTTACCAGGAGAGTAGAGAGTTTTTTTTATATTCATTTTTCCTTGTAATCAGAGTATATTTAAATTGAATGTCCACGCATTTGAATTAAACATCAGAAAGTGCTAAATATATTATTAAATTATTATGTTACACATCAACTATAAGAGAACGGGGACTGCCGTATAACTAGCGCTAAAAAATACATAATTTCATCATGAAAATAACCTAAAAAAAAAAAACTATCTTACTTGATGACGGAGCGTTATGATACTTATACGTAGCATATCTCATATGAATTTGACGTTAAAAAAAAAAATCATTTAACTGATATTCTCATTTTTCTCGTAATTTTTTTTTGTTTCTTTTCATCTTAATCCTAATCCATACACCACCCAAAAACAAATAATTAAAAAAAGAAGGAAAAGATTGTTAAACTTTTTTTTATTTTGTGGTGTAGAGTTGTTCAACATCTTAAACAAAAAGAAAAAGGAAAAGTGGAATAGCCAAGCCAAGTCAAAATCCGGGCAAGTACAAGAAAAACTGGGCCCAAACAAGATACGTTCGGCCTCCTATAACGGTGACCAACGTTGGCTATTAATTAAATAATTAAAACAAAATGATAAAAGTAAGATTTTGAGTTTGATTTTGATATTGACATGAGAAGGGACAAGTGGAGGTGGGATAATCGGATTTGCAAAGATCTCTGAGATTTGGATCCTCCGAATCTCTCAACTTTATTATTTTCTTTAATTCAGCCCCACATTCTCTTCTTTCTTTTTATCCATTTATTTATTTATTATTTAATTTATTATTACGCGTCCCTCTTGCTCTTTCCTTTTACTCTCATATAAATAGAACCCCTCACCGCTCTTTCGTTTTTCATTTTCACTCGTAACTGTCTGTTCTGTTGTGTGTGTTTGTTATTCTCACCCAAAAGAAAAGAAAAAAAGCACAATTGAGTTGAGTTTAATGGCTGCCGCCGGCGAAGTTTTCAGGCAGAATTTTACTGAGATGTTCGAGGAGTCACCTTCCGGTGCAGACGAGCTGCACGTTCTTGCTGTTGATGACAGCCTCGTCGATCGCAAGTTAATTGAACGCTTGCTCAAGATTTCTTCTTGCAAAGGTAATTCGGTTAAACAAATCCCGTGTCTGTGACTTTGTTTGTTTGTTGTTGTTGTTGTTGTTGTTGCATTTGGAATTGATGTTTTTGGAACTGTTTTGTTAATAATCAGTGACGGTTGTAGAGAGTGGAACACGAGCTCTTCAGTATTTGGGATTGGACGGAGAGAAGGGTTCTCTAGGGCTTGATGTAAGAAAATCTTGCTTTTGGATTCTTAACTGTGATTCGATGATGATGTTAGTTGCGTGGAAATGGTGGTTGCTAACGTTTTTGTTTGATTGGTTACGGTTGCAGGGTGTGAAGGTTAATCTGATAATGACGGATTATTCCATGCCGGGGATGACTGGATATGAACTACTCAAGAAAATCAAGGTGGGTATTTAGTGTTATTTGGAGTTTTCTATCTATTAAGAGATGCTTGCTCATAACAGTTAAATGTTTCGTTAGTAATAGTTGAGTACAGAATTGTGTTGTATTTTTCTGCTTTTTGTGTTGCATTTTTAAATTGTATGAAGGAGGAAGTTGTTTCTTAAATCTACTCCCTTGTGTTAATTTCAGCAGGAGTCTTCTGTTTTTAGAGAGATTCCAGTGGTGGTCATGTCGTCGGAGAATATCTTGACTCGAATTGATAAGTAAGCTCTTGACTAAATTACACTTCGTTTGATGGTGTTTGTTGATTATGCCTGTGCTTTGTTAAGATGAAGTGTCAAACCTCTCCAGAAAATTATTGAGGATTACCATCGTATTTCATCTGCAATCTGATATTTCCTGTGAAAAACTTGCATATTTGGACATAAGTGATGAATCCCATCTAACTTGAATTCCTTAAGTTTTCCTATTTCTAACCTGGTTCTAATCAAAATTGTCTCATGTAAAGATCATAATCTCCCTTGTGTGGATCCCAAATATTGAACTGATAATATTGAATCAAGAGTGTTAAAATTCTCTAGAGATCTTTGATGGCCACTTAGGCCGAGGTTGGCACTGTGATAGGCCATGCCATGTTTAGCACTAATAACGCAGTAAGCCATCATACCATTATGAATAATTATAAGGTTTAGGGAGGCGAGAGTGTGGAAGATTCTAAGGGATTGCAGATTGCCACTTTGGCCTAGGCTGGCAACCGGCATCGTAATGGATATGAAAGCTACTTTGAATTTTTTTTGTGATTAAGATTTCTGTCCCCCTATTTAGTGTTTAGCAAACAATAAATAACTAAGTAAGCACAAAACTATTAAGCAAAATTTCCAAAATAACAAATCCTTCCCTCCCCTCAACAAAACATGGCCAAAATCCTCTTAACTATAGTAGACAGAATAGTGTCATAGGCTTGGATTTCAAGCCTTGGGAAACATGTTACTCTTGAAATGATTGAAGCTTGTTAAAAATCAGATATATCTATTCGTCTAATGATCAACAGATTCTACAGATTTCTTATAGGCATGTCAGCAACTTTTATCATTACAACTGCCACATTCTTGTACATTTTATAACAACTACACAAAGCATGTATTTGTATTAGTATTGAGCGCTTTTGGTAATATAAATCAATTGGAAATTTAATTTATTTTAAATAAAATATTACATCGTATTCTGTACCTAGCAGTAGTGACGATTAATTAAGTCTCTGCTTCTGTTTAGTGGCCAGTTTTTCAAGGCATGCTTCTTAATAGTTCATGTTTACCAATTAGCAGGTGCCTGGAGGAAGGAGCAGAGGAGTTTCTGTTGAAGCCCGTCAAGTTGTCAGATGTAACACGCCTAAAAGATTTCATCATGAGAGGTGAAATGAAAGAAAGCGAGAAAGGATCTCCCAAAAGAAGACGATCAGATGATGATTGCAGTCCATCTTTATCAACTATGTTCTCACCAATGTCTCATCCATGCGATCCATCATCAGTAATTTCACCATTATCACCATCCACATTATTATCCTCAAAGAAGTCTAGATTGTGATCAGAGATTGATCTTGGGCCCTATATATGTCTCCATTTTTGCTACACCAATGGTCATATCAAAAGCATGTAGTGTGCTTTGCTATTGTTCACAAATCTATACAGTTAGTACTCGTATTAGGAATGAGAACCCCTCCCTTTTTTTTTTTTGGCAGCTGATTTCTTTGCTGACTTTGCTTCTGAACAGATCAATTTTTTTGAAAAATTAAAAAACAGGGTGTTGTTTTGACCAATATTTTTTTAATTGCAACTGCTTAAATATCTCTTCTATATTTTTAATTTCCAAAGTGTCCGAATCTTATAAAATATGAATGAACAAAAAAACTAAAGCAGAGCCTGGGATGCTCAATCATTATCACCATCCACATTATTATACTCAATGAAGTCCTAGTTTCGGGAAAATCACACAAAAGGAACTGCTGATGAAATGTTGAATATAACAAGAAAACGTATATGCTGGCACTACCTTACGTCTAAATTCCTTTTATTTTACATAATTTTATATGAAGTTTTTATTTTGCATTTTTCTTTATATGTTTTCTTGTTATCTCGAATAGTTAGGCATTAGCAGCAATAATTCCAACCCCAACCCCGCGTGCCTAACTAAGGCCATAGTCTAAACTCTTCTATGCCAATTTAAATAATCTTGCCGGTGGGAAGCTTGTAAGTGACTCCAAATTGGATCGCCATTATTATACTGCAACCTACCTATAGAGACTAGGACAATGCCCTGGAGGAGCATGCGCGTTTCCAAGCCATTTTCAATCAGCACAAAAGACCATCAGTACAATAAGTAAGTAGCACTCAGCACTGATGATGCCCTTAAAGATTGAGACGTGAACAAACTTCTTACCCAATGCAGCAGCTGATGCAAGCTTGTTGCCTTCCAAGTTACAATATTGAGAAACAGCATCATTTATAGCAAAAAAGCACAACTAATATTATCATTCGGAGGAGCATTATACCGAGAGAAAGGTCATCAATTGTGTGCCTTTTTAACATTGGCAATAGATTCTCGAGGTGGGACAGAACCTAAAGATCCATTAGAATATCACAGTGACAGTGGCATTATACAGTGGAATATTGATATATCTCTTGCCTGTGATCACTTAAAGATCCATTAAAATATCACCAAAGCACACTTGAATCCTTCCACCTTAAGACTAATCAATGTTAGGCCCTAATCCTGCAATGACTGTGGGTGCTACACCTGCGGCTACTTTACATTTTGCTGGGATTTTCTTTTACGTCCAAAAACCTGCTCTTGCTCGATAACGCCACAGACACAAAAGTTATGAAGATGATAAAGAAAATAGAATAGAGATAATGGTCCAAAGATTCAAACAATTTAAGTCTCAGGAGGTTCTAGTTCCACTGCTATGTGAATCTCGAGGTCCAGGCTTGATTGATCATGAGAATCTAATCAAACCAGTATCACAAGCATCTTCTCTGCCCTATTCAGTTTTAGCATCATTATTTTTAATAGAATGGGGCAGTGAGTAGAACTTATGAACCAAATGGTCACAGAAGCTCTAATATATGTAACGAACCAATTCAATCTAAAAATTTAAGCTAGTTTAAGCATCAATAGCACCGACACACCACATGCCACAATCGCATCTGTTACCACCTCTACTTCTTTCACTACCACAACCTTCACCCGTGTTTCTTTAGAAGAAAACTCAATCACTACCACTGCCACTGCCACCTCATCCTCCACAACCATCCCCTCCAAGAAAGGAAGTTCTAAAAGCACCCATCCGGCCTTCATCTCCCATTATAAATAGGGAAGGTGCAGTGTCACCTTCAAAGGCCTGTGGCTTCATTTCCTCGTTAAGACCCCCATTAGCATCTGAACAAAAAACCAAACATAAAAAAACACCACTGAGGCTGCAACAGGGGAGAGCTCAAGATGAAAGGGTGCTGGCCAAACAAGGCCGAAGCCTCTATATTGGGAAGAGGTTGTAGTTAATGTTGATCATTCAACAGTGTGGGATCAGATAAATGATGGTTCTTTTTGGTTAGTCTTCCTTAATATGAATCCCTACCTTATATTTTCTTTTTCTTCAGTGCATTGTACCATTGTCAACTTCATAATTTATGGTTTTCTTTTTTTTCCAAATCTCATTTACAGGTTTGATTATGAACTCATGGAAATACTCTTTGGATATTCAACTAACAAACAAAGCCTTTCAACTTCAACCAAGTCCAACTCCAACACAGCACCTCAATTATTCATTCTGGACCCTCAAAATCCCAAAACACAGCAATTGTGCTAAGATCTCTTGCAATTTCTCGCAGGGGAATCCTGGTTGCACTCCTTGATGGCCAAGGACACAGTATTGAGACACTAAGATAGCTCCTACCCAAGAAGAACAAGTGAAAATCATCCAATTTAGTGTCAATCCATAAAACTTGCTGATGCTGAATCATTCCTCTACTACATCGTGAGAGCAATTCCAACAGCATTCATTCGTTTATAAGCAATGCTTTTCGGTTCAAGTTATGATTGTGAGGTTATTCAGCTTAAAGAACACCTACAAACTCTTGAAATAGGTTGTAAGGAGATGAAGACTAGAGGTCTGCTTTTGAAATTCCTTGAGGCCATTCTCAAAGCTGGAAACCGGATAAATGCTGGAACTTCAAGAGGCAATGCACAAAGTTTCAACCTAAGCGCCCTTAAAAAGCTTTCTGATGTAAGAAGCACAGATGGGAAGACTAGTTTGCTACACTTTACTGTGAAGCAGGTAGTTCAGTATGAAAGAAGACAAGTTATCGATCAAAAGCACAACCTTCACAGAAGCACTGGTGAAATAAGCAACACCAATTACCATATTCAGATAGACTGATACAACAAGAGACAGACAAAAGAGTATCTAATGCTAGGTATACCAGTGTTAGAAGGGCTAAGGGATGAGTTATCCAAAGTAAAGAAAACAGCCAGTATCGAGCATCAGAATTTCATTGGTATGTGCTCTACTCTCAAAGCTAATGTTAATGAAATTCGACAGATTTCATAACATGCTGTGACAACAGTGATAGAGGTGGATTTAAGGTAATGAAAGGATTCCCAAAGGAATGCGAGGAGGAGGAGGAGGAGGAGCTTAAGGTGGAAAGAGAGGATTAGACAAGGATCATGGAGCTTGTGAAGCTGTGAGCTTTGTTATTTTTGGCTTTCAGTCAAAATGAAAATTTCAAGACTGCCCTGGGAAAAAAAGAAACAAGAAAGAAAAAAGCTTTTTTTTGTGTGTGTGCATGTAATACTGTCCAACCTACCCAACTAATGTCTTCCAATCCCACCATATCTTCTGTGTGTATCTGTAAACGTTAAGAGAGAAGGCAAGGATTTATTGTTCCGCCAACAAAGCAAAACTCAGGAGATGTCAAGGAAGGATCAAAGTTAATGTTCTAAAAAGAAATGCCAGCATACATATTTATGCAAAGAACAGGAACCAACACCAAACAGGTCTCGCTAACAGAAAATATATGATCTATTTCAGAAAAGAAATTACCAACATTTCTGTTCTTCAGCAAACATCACAGTCAACAACAAAATATTTATTTTACTTAACCCACGACTGTTATTTTATTTAATCTATTTTGTATTAGTTTTTGATAGAGAAAAATTAAGATGCAGAAATATAACTCACAATGTTTTGAAGAGGGAATACAAATTTCATAAACTGACTCAAACTTAATATAAATCAGAAACTAAAACTGAAAAACATAACATTAAGAGACACATTACACCCAAATAAACTCTAACTTAATGACTCATTATACTACCCAAAACTGACCCATTATGATACCGTTAAGACTCATCAAACAACTTTAGTGCAGCACATGGCCGTTACATCAAACTTAAAAGACCATTGAATTTTCTAACGGACAAAAAACAAAGAGACTCTAACATTCCCTCCCTTAAAGTGATGTTCTTGAAAAATTCAGTTTACTCCAAATCCTTTGACTTTCTCCATGGAACACATGCCAAGTAATCCCCTGAGCTTTTGAAACGCAACATATTTGAGAGGCTTCGTAAACAAATCAGCAACTTGATCCTCACTTCTACAAAAAATAAGATCAATTATACCAGCCTTTGTAAGATCCCTTAAGAAATGATACTTCACATCTATATGCTTGCTTCTCCCATGTAAAATTGGATTCTTTGACAATTTAATTGCAGAATTATTGTCACAATAAATTAAAGTTGCTCCTTCTTGCTTGAAGTGAAGTTCTTCAAGAATTCTCCTTAGCCAAATGGCTTGGCATGCACAAGCTGTAGCAGCAACAAATTCAGCTTCTGTGCTTGATAAAGTGACAATTGGTTGCTTCTTCGATGCCCAAGAAATAGCACCTGTACCAATCATAAAAACATAACCTGATATGCTCTTCCTGTCATCTTGATCTCCTGCATAATCACTGTCAGTAAATCCCACTAAATCAGATTTTACACCCTTCTTGTAAAATATCCCGAAAGTTCTTGTTCCTTGCAAGTAGCGAAGGATTCTCTTGGCAGCCAACAAATGTATTTCTGTAGGATTTTCCATATACCTGCTAATTAAACTCACAGAATACATTATGTCTGGTCTTGTTGCAGTGAGATACATCAAACTTCCCACAATTTGTTTGTAGAAGGTGCTGTCAACCTTCTTTCCTCCATGATCTTTATGTAACTTCAAGCCACATTCAACTGGAGTGTGCACAGGATTACAATCCTTCATCTGAAACCTGTCTAGAATATCTTCCACATATTTATTTTGAGAAATAAAAATTCCATCACTTGATTGTGCTACACTTATGCCAAGAAAGTAATGCATCATACCAAGATCAGTCATTTCAAACTCATTCATCATAGACTTTTTAAATTCTTCAAACATAACATCACAATTTCCAGTGAATATAAGATCATCTACATATAAGCAAACAATAAGCATTTTTCCTTCATCACCAATCTTAACAAAGAGTGTATGTTCATAAGGACACTTTATAAAACCAGCCTTAAGAAAATAAGACTCAATGCGACTATACCAAGCTCGAGGGGCTTGTTTTAGTCCATAAAGTGCCTTTTTCAATTTGTAAACTTTATGCTCATTTCCAACTTTCTCATAACCAGGGGGTTGTTCAATAAATATTTGTTCCTCTAAGTACCCATGCAAGAATGCCGATTTGACATCTAGCTGGTAAATAGGCCAAGAATTTTGTGCAGCCAATGCAACCACCAACCTGATTGTATCATGTCTCGCAACAGGAGAAAAAACTTCTGTATAATCAATCCCATATTGTTGCTTGTACCCCTTGACAACCAAGCGTGCTTTGTGCTTGTCAATTTCACCATTTTCCTTTAACTTTGTTTTAAACACCCACTTCACACCAATGATTTTGTGTCCATTTGGAAGATCAGTTAACTCCCAAGTATCATTCCTCTCAATTGCATCAATTTCAGCATCCATTGCTTTTCGCCATTTTTCTTCTTTGACAGCACTCTCAAAAGTCACGGGATCACATTCTGAAAACAAAGCAAAGTGAGTAATTGGATCTTCAATTCCAGTTACCTCATAATCTTCCATCCAAGTAGGCCTTCTTCTAACACGACGAAGAGATTGAGTTTCTTCTTCGTTAACTCCAACTACTGTTGGTGAGGATTCATTGGCTGAAGAAGTTGCAATGGATGAATTTTCAGGCATACTAGATGCTGAATTTTGCTCTTGTTCAAAATCAATATCACAAAGAACTTGGATAGGCTGCTGCATATTCCAATGCCAAGTGTTTTCTTCATAAAAAACAACATCCCTGCTAACCACAAATTTTTTTATCAGTGGATTAAATAATTTATACGCTTTAGATGTATCACTTACACCTAGAAAGACACAATTTTCAGTCTTGTCATCAAGTTTTTTTCTTTTCTGATCCGAGACATGAGCATATGCAATGCATCCAAAAATTCTAAAGTGATCCACATTTGGTTTTCTCCCACTTCAAGCATCTTCTGGCGTCATATTTTGAACTGCAAAGGTTGGACTTCTGTTCAAGACATGAATGCACCAGTTTACTGCTTCTGGCCAAAACGTCTTTGGAACTCTTCCTCTTGCCAACAAGCTTCTAACCATGTTGAGGTTGGTTATATTCTTCCTCTCTGATACACCATTTTGTTTTGGTGTATACGCAGTTGTAAGCTCTTTTCGGATGTCATGTTCTTCACAAAAAGCTTCAAATTCTTTTGAGCAATATTCACCACCACGATCTGTGCGAAGTGTCTGAATCATCCTTCCTATCTCATTCTCCACACGAGCTTTGAAATTTTTAAATGTAGAGAAAGCTTCTGACTTTTCTTGTAAAAAATAAACCCACGTTTTTCTAAAAAAATCATCAATGAAGGTAATTAAATATTTTTTTTACCTCCATTATAGATTGGATTTATTGGACCACAAATGTCTAAATGCATCAATTGCAAAATTCCCTTTGCTCTCAATGAGTTCCCTTTTGCAAATTCAGAACGATGTTGTTTGCTAACAACACATTCTTCACATATTAAAGAATGAGGAATTGTGATTTGAGGGAGGCCTGTCACCATATTTTCCTGTTGGAGCGTCTTCAACCCACCAAAGCTCTAATGGCTATAGCGAAAATGCCACAACCATGAAGGGTCTTTCATTTCAGCCATTAAACTAGATTGGATTCCTTCAATCTTTAATGGAAACAATCTGTTTGAACTCATCTGAATAACAGCAATAGCACCTCTAACAGAATCATATATTTCACAAACACCATTTTTAATAGTGATCACATAACCCTTTTCTTGTAATTGGCCAGCACTCAATAAATTACTTTTCAAATCAGGAACATACAATACATTAGATATTGTTTCCACAAAACCATTCTTGGTTTTTATTTTAATGTCACCTTTTCCCATTACTTTCACAGTAGAATGATCACCAAAACTCACAGTAGATTGAAAATTTTCATTCAGATGAGAGAAAGAAGACTTACTACCACTCATGTGGTTGCTACAGCCAGTATCCACATACCAAACATCTGGCTCAATTTGCTTTTCATCTTTAGCAACCATCAATAAGGTTTCACCTTCCTCCTTTTCTGCAAAGTTTGAACTTTCTTCTTTTTCTTTGCTATTTGGCAGCTTAGTATAACATTCAGATTGATAATGACCAAATTTATGACACCTGAAACATTCTACCTTGGATTTATCAGGGGCTCCTCCTCTGCCTCTGCCTTGAAATTGATCATTATTGGCTCTGAAATTAGTGGACCTTCCTCTGCCTCTGCCTCTGTCTCTACCTCTGCCTCTACCTCTACCCCTTCCTTGAAAATTGTTGGAACGAGTATCGGTAGAAGCCTTTAATGCTTGCTCATCTGTGTCTTCCTGTTTGAACTTCTGTTCATGCACCACCAATGAACTCTGCAATTCATCAAGTGACAAATCATCTATATCTTTAGATTCTTCTATAGCACAAACAACAAAGTTAAATTTTGCTGTTAATGATCGAAGAATTTTTTCTATGACAGTTATTTCTTCTATCCTGCCTCCATGAATTCGCATTTTATTGACAATGGTCATCACGCGAGAGAAATAATCTGCAATTGATTCTCCCGACTTCATTCGAAGTGTTTCGAATTCCGAGCGTAAAGCTTGAAGTTGCTGCCTCTTTGCTCTTGCAGAGCCTTGATACTTCTTTTTCATGGAGTCCCAAATATCCTTGGAAGTTTCTTTGGAAAGAATGGTTTCCAAGATAGAACGGTCAATGGCCTGGAAGAGATAATTCTTCGCCTTCAAATCCTTCAACTTTACTGCTTCATGAGCTGCTCGTTGTGCTGCTGTCAACTGAGCTCCTTCTGCTAGTGCTGGTTCAACAACACCATTGGTAACTACATCCCAATATTCCTTGGATCGAAGGAAATTCTCCATCAACATGCTCCAATGATCATAATGACCATCGAAACGTGGAATGGCTGCTTGCACAAAATTAGAATCTGTGGCCATGACTCTTCACTTTACTCTTTTTTTCACAACTCAATTCCCTCACGTGTTTAACTCTCAACCTGGCTCTTGATACCACTGATAGAGAAAAATTAAGATGCAGAAATATAACTCACAATGTTTTGAAGAGGGAATACAAATTTCATAAACTGACTCAAACTTAATATAAATCAGAAACTAAAACTGAAAAACATAACATTAAGAGACACATTACACCCAAATAAACTCTAACTTAATGACTCATTATACTACCCAAAACTGACCCATTATGATACCGTTAAGACTCATCAAACAACTTTAGTGCAGCACATGGCCGTTACATCAAACTTAAAAGACCATTGAATTTTCTAACGGACAAAAAAGAAAGAGACTCTAACAGTTTTTATCAAACAAGAGTTTTCTATCACTTGCAGTGAAACATGTGAAAACTCACAACCCATTAGCCATCAAAACCATGCAAATCTACAACTTGGGAAACACGTCATGTGAACTATCAGCCACCAACCTCAAATGAAGCTGTGAAGGAGGTTGGTTCCAGTAGAAACACCATGAAACATTGCGTACAGCAGGGGTAGGTGCAGAATGTTCCACTTGAAGAACTCGCCCATAATCATCAGCTAGAGTGCCCATTTCATGAAGCAATCTTTCAGAGGAAAAACCACGGCCATCAGGGACCCAAGTTTTTCTATTCTTCCATAATAACCAAACAGTAGCAGCGAATAAAACACAATCATTATCTTTTGCGTTGACACTGGACCAAGGCTGTTGAAGATAAGTCACCATCCAGCCCCATAAAGAGCAAGAGAAAAAGCAACGTTGGTGATGGGGAGCAACAAGATGAACCCAAACGCTTGTGGCTCGAGGGCAATCACGCAACAAATGAAGTAGAGTCTCCTGTCCATGGCAAAAGGGGCAAGATGAAGGTGCAAAATCTGCAATATGAGGAAGTGCTTTTGAAGTATTTGTAGGGAGCCTATCATTCAAGGCCAGCCATAGAAAGATCTTGCACCTTTGAGGGATGTTCAAGCGCCAAAGCCACCTCCATTGCTCGCTTAAAGGCATGGATTCCTTTCTTTCCAGTGACATTAAAAGAAAACTGAGAATTGTATATATGTACAAAAGACGCAGAGAAGCAGTCAAAGCCTGAAATCCAAATTCCTCAATAAACGCCTCAATTCAGTGCAAATAACCATGAAATGTGTCGTTTGTAATTGTTCCCACCTTTGTTTTCCAAGAAAACCGTGTCCAGTACCACGCATTCATTTTACAGAAAAATATTTAGTTGGAAGTTTCCAATAAAAATTCAGTTGAAATGATGAGGAAAAAAAGACAAAAACTTACAAAGGTTGTGTTGCATTTTGATTTTTACTTCCATTGTTGGAGTATGATTATAATTTTACTGAGTTTAATATAAATATTTGAAATATTTTTTATTTTATTTTTTGTAAAATTGATGGATATTATAAGTAGGAGTGTAAATGAACTAGGTCGGCCTATAGGGGCTTATTGCCTAGCCTATATTAGGCCAGGTTTAACCTATTACAAATAATAAAATAGAATAGGCTTAGATTTTAAAAAAACCTATTTAGACAACATGCCATAGATTTTTTTTATACATGTCGGACCTATAAGTCTACAGGCCGGCCTATATCGTATATTATTTTAAATAAAATTATTATTTTAATAATTTTGAATAATAATATAATATTATTTTAGTTATTATTTTAATTGTTGAATGTTTAATAGGCTAACAAGCCTAAACCAAAACTTTAACTTTTTAAATATAGATCAGACCAGATTTGTAATTTGAAGCCTACACAGGTTAAAAGGCCAGGTCAGACCCAATACTTTTTACACAGATCTAGCCTATTTAAGCCAAAGACTAGTCTATTTACAGCCGTAATTATAAGGTTAGCTTTATTTTTTATTTAAATTATTAAATATTAAATATAATATACACTACATAAATTAAAAAATTAGTTAATATCAAAACGTGTTCTTATGTGTCAAAATTTAATACTTTTTAGAATTAGCGAGTCGGGTATTAATGCACATTATTAGATACCGTCCTTTAATAAGTACAAACAGTTGGGAACTTTTAAATTGAATATATTAGAGCGGACTCCAAAACACACCATATATCAATAGACAAACGAAACACATTAAATACTATAAGACGCAACGTGTGATAACAACAAGAAAATCATCATCTACGACAAGTTACTAGATAGTTACTTGTAGCACCTGCAGCCACAGCCTCTTCTCCAAAAAGAGATATGAAGACCGACGAGTAACATACTGATTACAAAAGGCTAGCTTCCAAAAACCTAGATTTCGACATACAAATTGCAATAAAAGTTGGCCCAAACTACAATTCGCAATGACGTGGCTACCCAAATGCCAAAACCAAATTTCATCGTTAGTTACAGCAAGTCAGCAAATAAATAAAAAACCGAGAACATTAAGGGAATGAACGACCAATTAAATTAAGATGAAGGGAATGAACCGACCGATTAAACAAATGCAAGAGAGTATGAAATCACACACGAGAAAGAGGGAGAAAAAGAAAACAGAAAGCTTCAAATTCGGAAAATCAGCACACGATCAGTAATGATAGCCGACAAAACAGAAGATTATCTCCCACAATAAAAGTTGGCCAGCCATAATAATCGTCAATTCAAAAACCTATCTTTTGCAATATGCATATGCTCCTATCCGTTGCAAACCAGGCAAAGCTTCGATAAATCTTACCCACCTTCCTTATTCCAAACCAGGCAAACTTGCCCCACAAACACATGTGACTAACACCGAATACTTCACGCAACGAAATAATAAAAGAACATATTACTATTGGTTTCTTAATGTGTACAACGTGCACATCTTAGGAGATAAAGGCTCGTGTAATTTCCTTACACATCAATAAAGTACATACGTAGGCAACCAGCAAAGTACAAAAAAGACTAAAAGCAGTGATTTCTTGGTCTTCCCATATCTAATCTACTCCATTGGAGGGTATGTCCAATTATAATCCCGAAGAGTTAGTTTTCTTGTGTATGTCTCCACTTCCAAAAGCGCAAAGGTCTTCTGTTTGCAAAGCGACATTTCAGCAACTTCTGTAACTTGTCACGCTGACTAAATAAGCATCAGTGACGTTCTGACTTGATAATATTTATCTTAGTTTCCTAGGGATTCCCACTCTTCAGCTCGTTTTGATACATCATCAACAGAACTTATCTAAATGACAGACCTACCACTGGCAGAGTAACTTGATTAAGGCATAACATAAGTATGACTTACCACAGTTCTGCATCTCAAAGACCTAAAAAATGGCGTGTCATCTGTTGGCATCCAATTCGTAGGGAGAAAAAAACAACCAAAGAGGTGTAGCCCATAAATGAAACGAAAGAATAACAACAATCTTTTTTTTTCCTTGGGTGATGAAAGCAAAAGGTTTTATACTTCTCATAAAATCAAATCTTCGTTAAGTATGGATAGAGCAACCCAAAGCACACAGTGCAAAAACAAATAATCATTAGTACCTTTCATGTCATCAGTTCCATTGTCTACTACAAGAAACCCCAAAAACTAGCAACTGCCCGAGCAACAGAGGAAAATTTTGTGAAAAGCATATATATTACCAAGTATGGAAAATGGCGACAGATGATATATGATTATTAAACAATATGAGAAAGGCACAAAATCTGAAATTATCAGCCAATTAAATCTCCACCCTTATCATATTTCATTATACTAAGCAAATGAAAGTGATTTCCATTCCAAAATCTCCACCTTCCCACACTCCGTCTTCTCAACCAACATAAACACTACTAGCATAAAGATATTTGTCTTCTTCATTGTCATTCAGTTTCATTAAAGTAGACTACTGATCTATCGACAATTGCTAATTTTATGTTTAACCAACTGGCATTTTTCATATTAATTGACCAACCTTACTCTGTAGAGAGAAATTTCACAACAAACCACCACTATAAATATTCCACTACTATAAATATTTGCATAATTATACAAAGGGTTTAAAGTTTCTAAAGTTACTTTAGATAACTTTATCCAATGTTCATCAAAACACACACAAAAAAACGCATGGGGTCCATGTGGACCCATATGAAGAGAAGAGAGAGAAAAAAAAATGGGCCCAATACACTTTTATGTGTGTATTTTGGTGAACATTAGATAAAGTTATCTAAAATAACTTTAGAAACTTTAAACTCTTATACAAATAGTCCAACTTCCATGTTCAAGATTATAGTTGACTTCGCTTATTTTGTGGGTCTCTTGGTTTTGAGTGAAAACAGATAAAGGAGGGAGGAGCAAAAAATATATACACATGTAAAATGCATTAGAAGGTTTCCCACAAAAATGCATTAGAAGTTGCACACATAATGTAATGATTGTTCTGCACAAGAACTAATACTGATGTACTCTACTTAAAAGAAGTACCAATTTGAAAGAATTTTGGAAATCAGGATGATAATCTGACAGTGGTTGGTAGAAATCAAAGATAAACTAGTCAAGCACCAATTATCAGAACCCCAAGGAAACAGGAAGGGAAAATTATTCATTGACTAACTCTGAATCAAACTTATAAGAAGCATATACAGCAATGCCATAAAGATATTATTACCATACCTTGAAAAACTTGAAAACCCTACTGACCAGCCTTCAAATTTATACTTACCACAAGTATATAGGTTCCTAGAATAGAATCAACATGAAACAAAAACAATGTTCAAATGTCATAAGTATATTAAATCAAGCTATATTGACAATGATAACTCACATTAGGAAAAGCAAATCAAATCAGCAGAATCTTTTTAAGTAAGGGTAGTAGGAGACATAGAGCAAAGAAGGACCAAGCTTTAACAATGGCATATATCTGACATATGCAACGATATCCATATTAAACAAATTTTGCATGAGAGAAATTTTGTCAAATGTAAAGCAAGACTAGAAGCAAAAAATACAGACAACAGAGTGCTTCTGCACCATCCTTGATGGTCATAAACAGCTCACAAGCCAGTTTGTTGAACGATTAAATATTTATTTTTGAACTTTAGTTACCTATCAGTTCATCAAGTCTTCAGAGCTTTACTAACACTGTCACTGCCAACACAATTCTTAACTAAAATAATAACAGATTTTAAGAATATGATGCATAATATGGCAAACAATATTATTTCCAAGCAGAAGAATGAGTCAAAAAAATACCCCCAACTCTTCCATCATTCGAAGACAGAGTGAAGCATTAAGCTATAAGACATTTTAAAAATGATTAAAGGATGTAGTTCTTAATTTCCTTTGTTTTCTGGGCCTTAGCCCTCCTTATTTATAAAAACAAAAACAAAATTGATTGAAGGATAGAGGAAACTCAGAGAATTTGACTAATGATCATTAGCATCTACCCTCAATACATTAATATATAGTTACGAAGATATCAAATGAAGAGCAACGAAAAAGGGATATAAAGAAGTAGGACAGCATCATAAGCAGCCTCAGAATGCAATAACTGCAAGTGCAAAAGAAAGAACTTAAACATAATACATCGCAACACGAGCAAAAATTGAATTTACACAATCCAAAATTCGAGCACGTTCAATTAAACATGATTATATTCAATATGTAAAGTATCTGAACTTGGAATACAGAAAATGTGCAGAAAATGCGAAGAAATGGAAGCATAAAGGAAATAAGCCACAAGCAGCAGGAACTATTTTCAATGTATTGAATTTCTATACCACCTTATGTATTCACATACCAACATGAGTATTCTACATTAACACATGCACGATCAAATGAGAAACAACTTGATTTCGCGGTGCTAAAAAAACCCATAAACCTAAACCAACTAGACCTATGAAAATCAGATATTTCGAACTAAAATACAGACGATGGAATAATGCAAAAAAGAAGAGACCACGGCGTACATAACTCATGAAAACGGAGAATCTCTCAAGACCTTTCGATCATGCTACAGGAACGAGCCAACCTAAGAGCCAGGCTGCCTCCAACTCCAAGCACAGTTGTCTCTGTCTCGATAGTTTCACACTTATACGGCTTCCTACACCCAGGACAACGGCCATCCTCCTCAAGAATCCTCTTGTGGCAAAAAAGACAAAGCCGAAACCCACACAGGCAAGGCAAGAAACTCGAATCCGTCAAATCGAGATCCTCAAAGCAAATTGGACATGGGGATGGCGGAGAAGTGCGAACCCAAGGGACCCCTGCTCCAAAAAGCCGGTCCGGATTCGGCAAACTGTGCTGCTTAGACAGATTGGGCAAACTCTGAGGTCGAAAAGCATCATCAGCTCTCCAAGCTCGACTATTACCAGTGGCCCAAGGAACCAACCTACCACTCTCTGGTTTTGAATTCGGAGCTCCTGAATTTGACTCGTTAGGCAAAACAGTTTGCAGAACAGGTTCATTACGTGCAGGGGGGGAATCCAAACAAGGGCTCTCATGCTTGTCATCGGCGGCTAAAGCATCTGCCACAGCCTCCCAATCATCCAAGCATCCATCATCACCCTCTTCTTCTTCTTCGTCTTCTTCTTCAGTGATATTCCCGGAGCAGCACCCGGCACTGCTAGAACTACTGCTGCTGCTGCTGCTGCCGCCGATGCTGCTGCCACCTGTGAAACTTGTCCCAGAATCGTTACCACACAAATTAAGACTGTTGGGACAGTTAGATGGCGATTCCAAATCGCTGTCCTGATGGATCGAACCATCATCCTCTTCGCCTCCACCATGCCTCGTCTCCAAAGGCTCCAACGAGCGTTTGCCGTGTTTCATTGCTGGCAACGGCGGCGCGTGGCCGTCATCGTCCACTCCGTCCTTGCACCCCTTGCTCTTGACGACCGTACCTGAAACTCACGCCAACCGAAATCGAAGAAGGGAACAAAATCAGCGATAGAAAACGTCAACAGAAACATTATTATGCACACCACATACCTTGTGATAGCCATTGCTCGCGACGGGCATCAATCTTATGCTGCTTCAATTTAGCAGACCTGTTGGTCTGAAATCCACAGGGGATAACGATGGGTTAATAAGAACAGAGAACGGCATGCATATAACAACAGAAAAACTCAAAACTAAAATCGAAAATCGAAATCGAAATCATACCCTCTTCTTCTTGCCGGGGTTCTTAGTGTTTGCGGCGGAAAGAATCGGAGCGGCGGCGATTGAATCGGAAACCATGGCTGAACCGTTGGATTCGATTTCAAAAGATAAGAGATTCGCAAAAACCCTAATTTGTGAGGGAGAATGAGACGATAGAAAATTCTTGAGAGAGAGAAAAAACTTAGAGAGAACAAATATGGATCACGGTAACTCCTCTGGTCCTCGCGCACCTTTTCGCCTCAGAAAAAGATCCTGGTTGAGCTTTTATAGTATGCCTAATTACCAATTACCCTCTTCTTTTAATTAATATTTACGCTACTCGAGGTCACGATTTGTAGAATTTTGAAGCAAATCAAGGTTATATGTGTAAAGTGAAATACAAGTGCTAGACGACGTCGTTGATTTGCTGATATCTGTGAGCATATTTCGACCATATATTATTAATTAGAGTGTCGCTTAAATCAATTACAAAAACAATTCTGGCTTGTTTCTTGATAAAAGATATTCCGTTTGCCATTTTCTTTTTCAGGGAGTGGAGTTTGGTTAAGGAGAAATTTTTTAAATATTAAGAAAATGTAATTATTAGGAAAATGGTTAGAAAGTGAGTTTGGTAGAAAAATGTAAAAAAAATTATTTGGTTGACCGAAATATTATCAGAGAAATTTATTTAAATTTACAAAATCTATGTTCGGGAGAAACTTCACACATGTTTTTTCACTTCCCCATTTATCTCAAAATACCAAATCTTAAGTAGTATTCTGTAATAGTGAATTCCATCCAAAAATCAACACAAAAGTCATTTTCTCATCTATCCTATATTCTTAATATTTTTTTTCAAAAACCTGAACCAAATGTGATATTTTCCAATATTCACTTACACTTTCCCATCAATCTCAAAATAAATCTTCTACCACAAATAACAACTTTTTTAAAGATTAAAGTACATTAAATGAAAATCATTATCAATTATATATTTTTTTTAATTTTGTTTTTATAAAAAAATTTATGCTGTCTCCCACCATGAACACATATAGAGCGAATTCTGGCAGGTTAATAGTTCCATAATTATAATTTAACTTATCAAATTAGACGGGTTAAAATGGTTTAGATGCGGGTCGATTCGTTTTGTGAATTTTTTTTATGTTCATTGATGAAATGTTTGGGTGAAAGGGTTAGAATTGTTTCCCACATGAGTAGAATATGTGGATATAACAGTAATATTCTAGAGAGATGCTACCAAAAAAAAAAACAGTAATCTAAAGAGATAATAGTATGATCAAAACTCTAAAATGAAGTAACACCGAGTGGTCACAGGCGAACACCGAGAATTAGAGGGGTGTGACAAGGATAGTATGTAATAAAGGAACATTTGTTTCATTTTTGGGGTGTAGGGGATTAGCACTCATAATAGACCCTAATGTCCGGCTCAGAGGATTGGTTCTATGTGGTCGATTTATAACGCGTAGTTCAATAGGATATATGATCACATCACACCTCATTTTTCATGTAGGAGATATTCGGTTTGAAGAATTTTTTTTTTATCCAAAAAATAATTATTATCAGAATGTGATAAAAAAAAATATTTCAGCTCAAATGTTACTAAAATGTGTTTGGTAGGATAAAATTTTTCTAAAATTTTATGGTTAAATTACTGAGCATTAGGGGTGTAAATGGGCTGGCTGGCCCAGTCCGGCCTACATTAAGTCTGGCTTGGCCCAGCCTTTCAGAAAAGTAGAGTAGGCTTAGATTTTTAAGAAAGTTTTTTTAACAAATAGGCCGTAGGCCAATTTTTCAAGCCTAGCCCAAAGCCTTGTAGGCTGACCTATTTAATTTATTAAAAAAAATAATATTTATTTTATGTGGCATGACAAAGTACCAATATCAAGCCTATTTTTAAGATAAAGACATTCTCTTGTAGACTTTATTTCAGCACCCAATAATTGTATTTTTCTTATTTTGCTCATTTCTTTGACTCTATTCCTCTATGATATACATTCTAAAGCTGGGGTATTATGTTGACTCTTTCTTGTTTGTTATTTTTTTCTTATGAGAAGTACTAGTGCATTCATGAATGAAACTTTCTTTGCTCTATACAATTATTTTCTTTACTTAGTATCTACAGTGGTAGGTCTACAAGGCCTGTAGGCCATGTCGGGCTTTCTTATTTTTAAAAATAGGCCGGATTTGGCCTACAAATAAAGCCTTTGATAGGCCAATAGGCCAGATAAGCTAAATTTTTTTTTACGTAGACTTGGGCCAAGAAGGCCAAAGCTCAGCCCAGCCCATTTACACCCCTATTGAACATGTGTTTAGTTGGTTATGAAATATTTATGAGAATACGAGGTTATTTTACGAAAATAACCCCAACTTTATATCTTAATAAATGTTTTCACACATATCAACGAAAAGCATGGTTAATTTCGCCACTATTTTTGCGCTTAATTTCCACTTCGTGGGTTACCAAAAAATTCCATTTAATCCATGGAACTATTGAGCTGTTTACCGTATAAAGGTTTGCATACAAAAAGCGTTGTTGGGAAATATATTTACTCTGAAAACTTTTTCATCTTATTGTACCAAACATGGGGTTGTTACTTCTACAACCATGATATCTCAGGCACTGCAAAATTTTTCGTATACCAAAGGGCCCTAATGTTAAAAAATTTAATCAGTCTTTGTACAACCAAATCCAATTACCTATTTTGTTTGTTTTTGTCAACACACAATATCACAAGGAAATAATATTAGGCATTTAATCTACCTAATTATAAGTGCTCTCCTTAATCTTTCCGAATTTTAAAAATAAATGTTGTGGTTAATAGATTTCACATGATTTTCACATTGTATAAATGTCGTGTCCCCAGAAACAAGTACACCTTTCGTCCTAGTTGTGACTTTTCATATTATTTTGTACGTATTTATTACGTCTAGTTAAGCATCATATGAGAAGTTATCTGCACGTGATATACAGGATACGAACAGATATTTTTTTTTTCTGTAGTTAAAAATAAATATTTCCCCATATTTAATGCAATTTCATTTTAAAGTTTTATTTATTTTTTATTGTTTAGGTGGGTTAACCTATCACAATACAAGATGAGTTGTTATTTTAAATTTATTTCACGATAGGTTGCCCCGCGCTAAAATTTATTTATCAATAATATTTAGAGAAGTATTAATTTAAATACTAAAAGAGATTAATATTTTTCATGTTGTAGGAGATTCTTTTATTTTCTACACATAAATAAAGTGTGTGAGATCTATTTTTTTTTTCTTTTCTCTTCACATGACCCACATACTTTTATGCATATGTACGAGATAAAATTATCTTTTATAACATAAAGAACATTAATCTCATACTAAAATAGGATAAATCAATTATACCATTATTATTTTTCCTATTAAGTCATAAGTAATTGTTGAAACAATTGTTCTCTTTTATCGGGAATTCTTCTTTACCATACACATCAATAAATGAAAGAATAATGAGTCACTGTGGATGATTTAAATTCAATCATAAACAATGTGAACTTGTAATTTCACTTGGGATATATACAAAAACTATGAATACTTACATTTGTTATTATCTTAAATCAATCAAGATTAGATTTAATTTGTTTTATTAATGTTATTCTTAACTAGTTAATTATGTTTTATTTGCTTTATTTGTTGATTCTTATATTATTTTTTTATAAATTTATTCTTACTTAATTGAGTGTGATTACTATTGGCACATGTTTTCAATTTCATTTTCATTTTAGTGTGTTGATATGTAAAGTGGTAAAGTAAGCAATTTATCTCGACTTGCCTTACCAATCTTCTTAGTATAGAATTTGACAAAAAAAACGCAATTACTTGTGTCACTCGGAGAAGTAAATAGTATGAAATCAAGATCACAAAATTGTAAAAAGTTAAACGATTATTTACCAAAAAAAATGAAAGATAAATGACTAATGTTTTATTTTAAAAAATGACAGGTCAATCCATCTTAACACGAGTTCAAACTATTTGACCCACTTATGCATAGTAGTCTTAAACGGGTTGAGAGTCTCAATCAGTGATAGGTTAAAAAGATCAATCCAATGAGTTATACTTGTTTTGCTACTTGTATTGACATTTTTGTTTTTTTTACTTTTCAAATAGGGGAAGGATCCGTTTACAAACTTTTTTAACCAGTGTTCTCCCGGGAGAACATAGCGTAGTTTGTAAACGAAAAAGTTTGTAAATACAACATGCCCCTTTCAAATATAGTGGTAAAAAAATAAATGACCTAATGTAAATTGTCATATAATTAAAGTTGCTATCTCTCTCAACAATATCTTATTGGTGGTTTAAAAGTATGTTTCACAATTAAAAGCTAAGGGGAAATGGAAAAAGAGAAGATACAAACGGAGAATGAAGGATGAGAAAAAATTGTAAATGAGGGAATAAACCCTTACCCACGTGGATTGGCTAGGGTCTTCTTTGGGTAATGAGACCCCCCCCCCCCCCCCCCCCCCCCCCCCCCCCCCCCCCCCGCCCCTTTTTTTTTGGGTAGAAGGCTAATGAGACCTTGATCCCGAAGCAATGTTACAAATTTGCAAAGGATTTATCTTTTAAAAAAACAACTAAAATAATATATTTTTCATAAAATAGAAAAAATAAATATAAAAAACCAACTCATGGATAACTATAATTAATGTGCAAAATTAATCATATTTGTAATATCAAGAAACTATTGCACTTTAATTGAATTGAATTTGGTCCAAAGTTTTGTATTTGAATAAATAACTTTTAGACCTAAATTTCTCAACTAAACATGATCATATTGTTGAAACTCCTTTGATGATGTTTTGAGGTTGTTTCTTCATGGGTCTTCAATGAAACTAGTGAAGAATATACCTCTAAGACACTCTGGTGCAAGATAGTTGTTCAAACCTATTTAATTTAGAGGAAGAATATAAATACCTTAAGGGGGCGTTTGGTATTAGAGAAATTTTTTTTGACCGGAAAGAAAAATTCTATGAGAATATGATGAGAAATTTTTGTTGTCGGATAAGTAATGAAAAGGTGTTTGGTAACCCAAAATTTTGCAGGAAAATTTGGATTAATTTTACTAAGGTATATTTGGTTGATTGTAAAAAAATGATAGGAATATTTAGTACTGAAATTACCTTTTTTCACACCTAAACAATCGCTCACCAATTGAGGTTTGATAAATGTACTTTAATGCAAGGGCATT